AAGGAAGGAAGGAAGGAAGGAAGGAAGGAAGGAAGGAAGGAAGGAAGAAAAAAAGGAAAAGAGAGAGAGAGAGGGAGGGAGGGAGGGAGCAATATTTCCTGAAGTGTGTTCTATAGAACATTAGTCCAGTGACACGTTCTGGAGGGAAAAGTTTCTATGATTGGGTTTCTAGAATATTTTAGCTGTAGCAGCAGGAGGCATCACCATCATTACCATGATCGTCATAATGAATAGCAATACAACCCATTTTATTTAGGGCTTACTATCTTCCAGGCATTATGCTAAGCACTTCATATGCATCATCTAATCTAATTTGTGCAGCAATGCTGTAAGTCAAGTACCATCATGTCCCTTTTTACAGATAACAAATCAGCACAAAGGGATAAAGTAATTTACCTAAAGTCACATACCTCATGCTCAGTAGAATTGATTAAAAGCTCTAGGAACTCCTACAGAAAAGAAGCCTGCTCTATTTTGCCTGGCATTTCACAAACTTATTTGTGTCAAATCCACTTAGACACAGTGTGAACATGTGGAAACATCATTAAACAATGGTACAGAGCATTCCCATGCTCATATTTTTTTTTCTAGGTCAGAATTTAAAAAAGAAACTTAAAATAGTTAAAACTGCAAGCTATGAGCTAAATAAGGTCTGAGGCTATAATGTAAAACACAGTGGACAGAGTTGATAACACTGCCCTGCATAATGGAAATTTGCTAAGAGAATCGAATGCAAATGGTCTCTCATACACAAAAAAAGATAAATATGTGAGGTAATGGATCTATTAATTAGACGGGGGAATCCTTTCATGATGTATATCAAAGCACTACAATGTACACTTTAAATATCTTCTAATTTTATGTGTCAATTATACCTCAATAAAGCTAAAATAAAATAAATGAAAAGTAAAATGCAGAACATAATACAACAAAACTCCACATTCCTATCATCCCAAAGGAACAAAGACTCGTGGCAGAGGGCCTATTAGTGTTCACTAAACATCTCTGTGCTTTTAAAAACATATTTGCCAGCTCTCCTTACAGTTCTGCCGGGGCCGTGCAACTACTCCTGGCAAAGAAAACCTGAGTAGAAGCGCCAGGTAGCCATTGCTGGTGAAGGTAGTAAAGAGCAGGTGCTTTGCTTGCATCTAATCCTTGCCCTCCAGGGTGATCTTTCAGACGCCAAGTTTGATAGGGAATATTTAATAGGTGGAAGCATCCTGTGTCCCTGAGCCACGAAGTGCAACAAGCCTCTGAGAGCTGCTGACCTACAGGAAACTGCGAAGGGAGGGGAACAATATTTCATGGGTTAAACCAGTGAAATATTTGGACTGTTCGTTCATGCAACATACACTAGCCTACTTTGCCCAATACACTGGAATAACAGTCATCGATCTTTTAAGGAATTAACATTCCAGATAAAGTTGAAACATTTTATATCATACTACTACTGATTTAACCCCTACTTCCTCCTCAGATACAATCAGTACCTTGATTTCTTGTATATACATTTCTCTCTTTGGTATACTGTTGCTACCTACCTACATCCACAACCAATGGGTACATTTTTATTTCTTTTTAATGTATGTAAATGGTATCACACTCTATTGTTCTACAACATTATTACTTCGTTCCAAATCACATTTTCCAGATTTATCTATGTTGCTACATACATAGCTTAACGACTGAGCCACCCAGGCGCCCACTACATACATAGCTAATTCATTCTTTTAACTGCTCTGAACTATGAATCTACCACAATTTATTATGCTATTCCCTCATTAATGATACTGGGCCTATTGGCACTTTTCACTACAAAAATTTTCCTTTCAGTTGAGGGTTTTTCCATAATATATACATACAAGTAAAATTTCTGGGTTATACACTGCCACCTTCAACTCTAATAGGTATTATATGTTGTTCTCCCAACTGGTTTTAACAGTTGAATTCTACACCACTGGTGTATGAAAGCTCCCGTTTCCCCACATCATCACTTAGGATCATATATCTTAAAAATTTGTTTTGCCACTCTCATGGTGTAATTGGCAACTCATTGCTGTTTGAATTTGCATTTTCCCAATTGCTAGTGAAGTTAAGCATAATACTATGTTGGTTGGCTGGTCTATGTTGTGAATTTTCATCCATATCCTTTGGCCATTTTTTCTACTTGGATTATTTATGTTTTTCTTATAATTTGTGGAAAACATCTTCTCCATTTTATAGCTCCTATTTCCCTTTCTTCACAGAGCACTTGTAATTTTTTTTTTATTATGTTCAATTAGCCGGCATATAGTACATCATTAGTTTTTGTAGTGTTCAACGATTCATTAGTTGTGTATAACACCCAGTGCTCATCACCACATGTGCCCCCCTTAATAGCCATCACCGGGCTAACCCATCCCCCCACCCCCCTCCCTTCTGTAACCCTCAGTTTGGTTCCCGTTTCCATAGTCTTTCATGGTTTGTCTCCCTCTCTGATTTCTTCCTGTTCAGGTTTCCCTCCCTTCCGCTGTGATCCTCCACGCTATTCCTTATGTTCCACAAATAAGTGAAACCATATGATAATTGACTTTGCCTGCTTGACTTATTTCCCTGAGCATCGTCTCCTTCAGTCCTATCCATGTGGATGTAAAAGTTGGGTGTTCATCCTTTCTGATGGCTGAGTCATATTCCATCGTATATATGGACCACATCTTCTTTATCCATTCATCTGTTGAAGTGCATCTCGGCTCTTTCCACAGTTTGGCTATTGCGGACATTGCTGCTATGAACATTGGGGTGCATGGGGCAGTTGTAATTTCAGTGTAGTCCAATATATTACTCTTTTCCCGTTCTTTTGAAGCTCTCCTTAAGAAAATGTGATGAAGCAAGGAGTTGAATTGGAGAGGCCCATAGGGCAAGAAACTGAGGGCAGCCTCCAACCAACAGCTGGAGAGGAGTAGAGGCCACAGTCCAACAACTGGGGAGGAACTGGATGTTGCTAATAATCACGGGGGTAGCTAGGACGTAGAACTTCACCAGGGTTACCTTCACATCACTGCATTCCCAGCCAACAGCCTCCAAGAGACCCTGAAACAGGGAACTCAGTGAAGACATGCCCGTCAGTCGTGACCTACCAAAATACTGAGACAATGAATATTGTTGCTTTGATCCACCGAGTTTGGGGTAATGTATTATACAGTAATTGATAATAAACAAATGGAAATTAAGATATTCTCAGATATTTTCTTTGTTTTTTTCACATTAATTATTTAATCCATGTGAAATTTTGGTGTGATGAAGGAATCTAATTTTTTTCACATGATAAACCAAATGTCTTCTCCCCATATATTAAATAAAACATACTTTACTCCCAGTTATTTGTACTTCACCTCTGATATAAACCAAGGTCCCACATTTATGCTTTGATCTGTTTTTGTGCTTTCTCTTTCTTTGCATTAATCCATCTTTCTATCTCTGCCCAATATCATCTTTTAAAAATTACTGTGGTTCCATCATAAATCTCAGTATGGTATAGAAATTTCCACATTCATTTTTGTTCTACTTTTCTAGAATTCTCTTTACTATTGCATACGAATCTCTCAAGTTTTTCAAGTTTGGCAAAAACTCTTCTTGGGTTGTTTGAAATAAATTTCATTGACTTAAAATTCAATTTGTACAGAAGTGACATTTTTATTACATTAAGTCTTCAATCCTGTAAGCAAAACATCTTGCTTTCCATTTATTCATATCTGTTTATATTTCCTTAAAAATATTTTGTACTTTTCTCTGTAATGGATATCTATTTGTGTGTATATACACATATATACTTAAATTTATTCTTATGAACTTTGTATTTTTCTTGCATTTGTAAAAGGTGTGTAATTTTCTATAAGTTTTTGCTGGCGTGTAGGAAAATTTTTGGTGTTACATTTACCTTGCATTTTTAACAAACTTTTGAATTTTGTTATTAGATAATTCACACTTTTAGTCTGGTAGTTTTAATATTGTCTTTTTATTTCTCACATTCTATAGTTTTATTACATTTCTAGTTATCTACTTTTGTGAATCAAATTTTAATAAATCCATAAGTATCAGATACCAAAGTGTCTTGTGAGATGCATCAGCTTATATAACATGTCAAAATAGCTTGCCAAGAACCATTTAGATAATTCTAAAACTCATCATTAATTTTGAAAACATAGAAGAATCAGGAGAGGGAGAGTGGGGGAAAAAATTTTGGAAACAGCTGTTGCTGTGTTGAGTCTCACACACACACCCTAAAAATGGCAAGGGCAAAGCAGTTGTTCCTCACCCTAAGCCAGTGTGAAGAACTCCAGTCTGACTGCTCAGAGAATTTCAAATGTATTCCCAGAGATATGAGAGAGACAATGGACCAATATCTAACTAACACTGGGAAAACTAAAGGGTAAGGGTACAGATGATTAGCTGTCAACAAATGGTCTACAATGGAATCGGCTTATAATCCTAGAGTCCCTTCAGGAAAAGGAAATGTGTTTACTACAGACCAGATAGAGGATTTGTGTAAGACATTGTTGGCATAGATTTATTTTGGAAGGCCAATGGGACCTCAGCAGAAAGAACCTGGAAATAAACCATCAGATTCCTAGGAGGCTTAGGAGTAAATGGCCAAGAGAACTAGAGTTTTATTTAGTTGTATTAAGGGAACTACAGGGAATCCTTAATGATGGGGGTGGGGTGAGGCTGGCTCTAAAGAACTCTGAAAAGTACCCCATGAAAGAAAGAATTCACTTTAAAACTTTGCCAGACCAATAAAGTATGAAGCTCATCAAGTAAAATCTTTTCTTCTCCCCTCACTCCTCTCCTCAATATACCCCAACCTGAAGGAAGGAGCTGAAAAGGAAAGGGAAATGAAGCTTACTACACCCTCTTTCCACGAGTGTAGGCTTTCCACTACAAAACCCTAGCAAAGGGAATGGAGAAAGTCCCAATTTGAACATTGAAATGTCAATCATTATATGAAAACTGATATTCTAATTTCTGAATTGATATAGCGTTTGATGTCTAAAAGTAATAATCAGGTTTTCTTAAATTTATCTAAGAATGATTAGAAAAGGAGTGGGATTATCTTTAGTTTTACTCCAAGTGCAGAGAAATAGGTCTCTATTAAGTTTAAACAATCAGTAGGAGGCAAAAAAAAAAATCAAGTTGCTTTGTGATTACATCACATAAGTTAAGCCTGTTCAATGCAATAGTAATATATAGTTTTTATTCTGCACAATACTGTTTGTGGTTCAATCATCAGACTCAAATCTGTTTTCAGTTTTGGAATTTGTCAGCTATTATTTCTTTGAATATTAGTTAACCAGCAGTCCCTCTTTGACTTTATTCTGGTAGACCTATTAGATCTTTGTTAAAGCCTCAGTCCATTTTTCATTTCTCTCAGCTACTCTGTTTCATTTAGAATTGGCTTAAGAGTGTGGCAGGAGCATAGGCAGACACGAGATCCTCCTCATCTCTGTCCTAGCTCTGGAATTGAAATTAAATCATCCTTTTAGACTCAGATCCTATGACTCAGGCACAAATAAGAGGACATTGGTATTAATAAGACACCTCGGCTGAAAAACTGTATGCCGGGGCGCCTGGCTGGCTCAGTCGTTAGGCGTCTGCCTTTGGCTCGGGTCATGATCCCAGGGTCGTGGGATCGAGCCAGGCGCCGGGCTCCCTGCTCTGCCAGGGGCCTGCTTCTCCCTCTCCCTCTCCCCCTGCTTGTGTTCCCTCTCTCACTGTGTCTCTCTCTGTCAAATAAATAAACAAAACCTTTTAAAAAAATAAATAAAAATAAAAAATAAAAAACTGTATGCCATCTCCAGAGTCAGTTACATCTGGATTTGTCTCCACAAGTGTTGGTTCTGCCAGGGTGATAGGATCTCTATTTGTTCTAAGCTTCCTCTTTTGTTTTGCCACTCTGGGCCTGATAATTTGTCTATCTTATTTCCCATTATTGTCCCAAAGCACATCATTGAGTCACGCATAAAATAAGTGCACAATATTTTTTTGAAATGACTTAATTACATGAATGGGTCTTTCTACTCAATCTTTACGACTAAGTTTAAGTATCAATACCTCCAGAAAGCCTTTTCTGACCACACTTACCCCAAGACTTAGATAACCCCCTGTCATCTGTTCCCTCCTACATATCTCTATCACTGCCTATATCACATCTGACCCTTCAGATGTTGAGCAAATTATGAAGCTAGAGTTATTATTTGTTCAGCACTTACTATATGTCCAGGTATAGTGGCATGTGCTTTCACATACAGTGACTCATTTAATCCTCATTAAAACCCATTTATCAAAGAAGAAACTGAGGCTCAGACAGGTGAAGTCACCAGTCTAACTGGCATGTAGAAGAACTGGTGTATTAGTCAAGATTCTCTATAGAAACATAACTAATAATAGAATATAGATATGGATGTATATATTTATACATGCATATCTCTAGATATAGATACATAGAGACATATAGATAATGGTATACAGAGATTTATACACATTCAGTATATCTGTATCTATTTATCTATCTACCTACCTACATATAGATAGAGGAAGAGAGAGAGAGAGAGAAAGATTTAAGAAATTGACTCACATGATTGTGGGGGCTGGCAAGTACAAACTATACAGCAAGCCAGCAGACTGAAAACTCACGGTGCAGTCTTGAGTCTGAATTCTACAGGGCAATAGGATAGAAATTCAGGCAGAATACCTAGGTTGCATTTTTTTTAAAGACTTTAAGACCAGTTTTATTAGATTTACAATAATGTTGAGAGAGGTGCAAAGATTTACCATATACTTCCTGCTCCTACATATTCGTAGCCTTCCCCATCATCAACATTATTCACCAGAATGGCACATTTTTTTCCTTTAATTTCTTTTTATTGTTATGTTAATCACCATACATTACATCATTAGTTTTTGATGTAGTGTTCCATGATTCAGTGTTTGTGCATAACACCCAGTGCTCCACGCAGAACGTGCCCTCTTTAACACCCATCACCAGGCTAACCCATCTCCCCACCCCCCTCCGCTCTAGAACCCTCAGTTTGTTTTTCAGAGTCCATCGTCTCTCCTGGTTCGTCTCCCCCTCCGATTCCACCCCCTTCATTCTTCCCCTCCTGCTATCTTCTTCTTTTTTTCTTAACATATCTTGCATTATTTGTTTCAGAAGTACAGATCTGTGATTCAACAGTCTTGCACACTTCACAGCGCTCACCGTAGCACATACCCTCCCCAATGTCTATCACCCAGCCACCCCATCCCTCCCACCCCCCACCACTCCAGCAACCCTCAGTTTGTTTCCTGAGATTAAGAATTCCTCATATCAGTGAGGTCATATGATATATTTTTAAGGCAAAATTCCTTCTTCTTCAGGAGACCTCACTCTTTACTCTTAAGGCCTTCAGTTTATTGGACCAGGCTCACCCATAATATGGAAGACAATCGACTTTACTCAAAGTCAACTGATTTAAGTGTTATTCACATCTAAAGAAATACCTTCACAGCAACATGTAGACATGTTTTATCACTGGTGCTTGACCTAGCCAAGTTGACACATAAAATTAACTATCACAGTTGGGAATGAAACCCCGGTTTGACCTGGAAGTTTCTGCCTTTAATCACTATATTTTGCTGCTCCCTTGAGTACAGAGTGTGCCTCAGTCGTCCCTGTATCTCCAGCACCTAATGCTGAATCTAGTAAAGAGTAGGTCCTTGGCAAATATTTATTGAATAAGTAAATGAGCCTATATTGAAATAGTGTTCTGGAACTTCAGAAGGAGTTTGGAAAGAAGTAGTGAGTGCATCTGGTGCTATGGATTGAATACACTGAAAATGTAAAAAGAAAAATACAACAGGTATACAATTCGCCCAGTACTGGAGACAAAGTGAGATTTATAAATAACTGGTAAGAACAAAACAAAGAAGTGAAACATATTGTAGATGTTCTGATTCCAGAAGTAATAAAAGAAAAATAAATCCAGACAGAAAAATAAACAAATATGACAGCAAAGGGAAATCACCAAGTGACTCTTAGAAATAGCCTAGTAGGTAAAGCTCTGTAAACCCTTCTGTGAAAA